TTGAACCACCGACTTTATGGCTCAAATCAACTTTGCATACCAGCACATTAACCCACAGTGCCACATTAGTACTCCATCTTTAAAGTTCATATTGCAAATATTTATTGTGAAACATTTAAAGATTACTTATGATGCAAGATGTAGGAATCACAAGGATTAACAATGCCTGTATTTTATTAATGGAGTGTATGTTTCTTGAGACCAAAGATTTAAAGTGATAATATTACTATACTTTGGGTGTAAAGTATTGCTGATCATTTAAGTCATTGTTAACTAAGGTGAAAGTCTGAGAGACAGAGTCCTAGAATCATGAAATTTGGGGTCCATATCCCCATAATTTCTATCAATATTCTGTGTGATTATAAACCACATGATAGTATATGCCTTACATTTTTCTTCATAAGGTTAAAAAGTGCATTATTGTAATCACTTATGATTAATGAAAAATGAACTTTTCCTAGAAAAATGCTATTTAAAATAAAAATTACAAGTGAATAATAATACTATTTTTTCACAACTGGCACTGTAGGATAAAGCACTGGACCCACAAGATCCATTAGAATCATGAGGTCAGTGGTTCAAACCCACCAGCCACTCCTTAGAAACCCTATATAGGATTGCTATGAGTTGGAACCTACTCAATGGCACTTAACAACAACAACAGAAACAATATTGGTGTTTGGAGTCCTGATGTGGTATTGTAGGATAAACACTGGACTGCTAACTACAAGGTTGGCAGTTCAAAGCCACCTTCCACTCCTCCGAAACCCTCTACAAGGTCAATATGAGTAAGAATGCACTTGATGACACTTAACAACAACATATTGGTATTTCCATCAGCTTCATGTTTGCATCAGAGACTTGAACCAGCAATTGGTAACCAGTTGTGTTTCAGCTTCCTTAAAATTACCTAATCATCCAATTACAATAAAGTTGAGATTCAGATAGATTAAAAGTACCATAATAAATAACAGAGTTGGGACTTAAGTTTTAGACTAATTCTGTTGTGTTGTTATTGTGCCATTGAGTCTGTACTGACTCATAGTGATTTATGAACAACAGAACGATCCTACACCAATCTCACAATCATTGCTATGGAGTCAATTGATGCTGCCACTGTACTAGTCCATCTCGTTGGGGGTCTTCATCTTTTTCGCTGACTACCCACTTTACAAAGCATGATGTCTTTCTCTAGGGAATGGCCCTTCCTCATAAATGTCTGAAGTATGAGAGATGAAGTCTGTCTTTCCTGATTTCTAAGGAGCAATCTGGCTATAGATTTTCTAAAACAGATTTGTTTGTTCTTTTGGTGCTCTATGATATTTTTAATATTCTGCTTCAACATCATAACTAAAATGCATCAATTCTTCTATGCTTTTTAAATTAATTGTCCAACTTTCACATGCATATGAGGCTAGTTAAAATACCACGACTTGAATCAGGCACAGATTAGTCCTCAAACTGACATTTTTACTCTTGAACACTTTGAAGAGGTCTTGTGCAGCACATTTGCTTAATGCAATACAACCTTTGATTTCTTGACTGCTGCTTCCCTGAACGTTGATGGTTGATCTGATCAAACCAAAGTCAGTGAAACTTCAATCTTTTCTCCATTTGGATGTTATCCAGTGGTGATGATTTTTGTTTTCTTTACATTGAGGTGCAACCCATAATGAAGAACATGCACTATGATATTCATCAGTAAGCTTTCAGCAAGGAAGGTTGTATCATCTACATATCGCAGGTTGTTAATGAGCCTTCCTCCAACCCTGATGCTGCATTCTTCTTCATATAATCCAGCTTCTCAGATTATTTGCTCAGTGTACACATTGAATAAGTATAGTGAATGAATACAACCCTTCCAAATACCTTTCCTAATTTTAAACTATTCAGTGTTCCTTTGTTCTGTTGCAATGACTGCCTCTTTTTCTATATATTGATTCCTTATGAACACAATTAAGTGTTCTAGAATACTCATCTCTGCATTGTTGTCTGTAACTTGTCATAATTTTCATAATCAAAAACCTTTGCATCGTTAATAAAGCACATGTAAACATATTTCTATTATTCTTTGCTTTCAGCCAAGATCCATCTGACTTCACAGTGATATCCCTTGTTCCATGTCCTTGTCTGAATCTAGTTTGAACCTCTAGCAGTTCCCTGTCAATTTACTGTTGCAGCCATTTTTTAATTATCTTTAGCAAAATTTTACTTGCATGTGATATTAGTGATATTGTCCAATGATTTCCACATTCCATTGGGCCACCTATCTTTGGAATGAACACAAATATGGATATCTTCCAATCAGTTGGTCAGGTAGCTGTCTTCCAAATTTCTTTGCATTGATGAGTGAGTTCCTCTAGTGCTGAATCAGTCTGTTGAAAGATTTGAATTTGTATGTCATCAGTTCCTAGAGCCTTGTTCTTTGTCAATGCCTTCAGTGAAACTTGGACTTCTTCCTGCAGTATCATTGGCTCTTGATCTTATACTAACTCTTGAAAATGTTGAACATCAACCATTTCATTTTTGGTACAGTGACTCTGTGTATTCCTTCCATTTTCTTTTGATGCTTTCTGCATCTGCCAATATTTTGTCTACTTGTTGTTGTTGTTGTTGTTAAATGCCATCAAATCAGTTCCAACTCATAGTGACCTTGTATAGGGTTTCCAAGGAGACTTGTGGTCCAGGGGTATATTCTACAGCACCACACCAGAATCCTTTAATATTACATGCTGAGGCTTGAAATTTTTTCTTCAGTTCTTCCAGCTTAAGAAATACTGAGTGTGTTCTTTCCTTTTTGTTTCCTAATTCCAGGTTTGTGCATTTCACTATAATACTTGACTTTGTCTTCTTGAGCTGCCTTTTGAACTTTTCTGTTTAACTCTTTAATTTCTTCTGTTTGTTTCAGCATATCTACACAGGAGAGTAAATTTAAGTGTCTCTTCTGACATCCTTTTTAGTTTTGTTTTCTTCTTTCTTGGCTTCTTAATGACTTTTGCTTTCTTCCTATCTGATATTCTTGGTGTCATCCCACAACTCTTTGGTCTTTGATAATTAATGTCTAGTATATCAAATCTGTTCTTCAAATGATCTTTAAATTCAGCTGGGATATGTTCAAGGCAACCTTTTGGCTTTTGTATACTTGTTTAAATTTTCTTCAGCTTCAGTCTGAACTTACATATGAACATATTCCATAGTCTGTCCCTGGCCTTGTTTTGGCTGATGATATAGACCTTTTTCACCATCTCTTTCTACATATGTAGTTAATTTTATTTCTGTGTATTCCATCTGGTGAGTCCATGTGTATAATCAGCACCATAAAAAAATCTTTTTATATTATTTAAAAAAGGTATTTGTAATGAAGAAGACATTGATCTTGCAAAGTTTTATCATGTGATCGCCAGCATGGCTTCTATCACCAAGGCCGTGATTTCCAGTTACTAGTCCTTCCTCTTTGTTTCCAACCTTTACATTACAATCTCCAGTAATGATCAATACATCTTGAGTCCATTTCAGACTGAAGAGGTGGCTTGGATTCTTCAGTTTCATCATCACTGGCTTTAGTGGTTAGTGTATAAATTTCAATAATAGTTATATTAATTGGTCTTTCTTGTAGGCATATGGATATTATTCTATCGCATACACAATTATACATCATTTTGATGATGAATTTGATGCCATTTCTCTGCTGCAGTGATAGACAATTTAGGTAGACCACTGAATGTTTTTTTCTATGCTTTT